AGCTGGCATGCCCCCATACCACGCACGCACGCCAATCCGCTATCAGCAGCAGAACTGCTCAACTCAGCGAACTTGCTGCTTGCCTTATATATGTAAACCCGTTGAAGGTGATGGAATAGGAGCAGCGAAATCGTGTTAGTGCCGCCAGGGCGGCGTTGGCGCGCTTCGCGCGAATATCCGGCTGCAGACTGTCTAGATAGTTAATTACCAGGGTACGTTCCGGCAGTACCCTGGAGCTAGGACATAGACCTTATGAGCCTAACTTGCCACAATATATGTATGATATAGGCCATTCAGCCTGTGTTTTGGTTTACACAGTACTTTCTCTCTCCCTCTCTCTCTCTCACTCGCTCGCTCTTGCTCTCTCTCGTTCCCTCGCTCTCCCTCTCTATCTCTCTCTCTTGCACACTATCTCTCTCTCTCTCTCTCTTGCACACTATCTCTCTCTCTCTCTCTCTCTTGCACACTATCTCTCTCTTTCTCTCTTGCACACCATCTCACACACAGGGCACTATTCTCTCTGACAGAGGGAGAGAAAGTAAGCGAGAGAGTAATAGCAAAAGAGCAAGAGAGAGAGAGAGATCACGAGAGAGAGAGAGTGAGCAAAATAGAGAGAGCAAGATCGCCAGAGTGAGAGAGAGAGAGAGGGGGAGGAATAGAAAAAGTGAGAAAGAGAGAGGGGGACAAGGAGCGAGAGATTGAGAGTGACAACGAGAGAGTAAGTGAGAGAGAAAGAGGAAAGAGAGAGAGAGGGGGAGAGCGAAGCAAGAAGCGAGGAGAGGGAGAAAAGATATAGGAACCTGTTCCTAGCTGTCTAGTGACTATTATCCACTTTATTGTGATGTAATGGTAATTATGGATTATTATCCACTTAATTCCTGATTATTATCTGCGAAAGCGGGCATAGATACTAGTATTATTACTAGGCAATTTCCACTCCAGTGTACAGTCACAGTGTATGATACACGCATATATGCATTTTTGTGGGGCAGCTACAAACGTAAGAGACTAATACAGAACAAAACACATTTCCAAATGTCCATACACTGCTGCATCTTCCAGACTGCTTACTATACTTTCTAGATTTTAGATTCAGCACAAGGAATACTATTTATAAGCATCTACTTTTGTTCCTATAAAAAATACTTGCAACACATACATTATCTGTGTACAGCGCTCATGGGGTTTCGATACAGTTTCTATAATTATATAACAGGGGGCGCCAGGCGACGATAATTGGCCAATTTTACCGGAAATACGGAGAAGAGGGGTATTCCGCACGTTTGTTGACAAGTAGTGGAAGCGTAATTTTTTGCTGGTATTCCTTTCTCTGTGTTTGTGGTTGTGTACCTTGTGAATGCACATGTTTCTTGATACTGGGTAATTCATGAAACACGGTTTTTGAGATACGGTGAGTATTAAAGTGTAATGTCGACCAAATCGGGTGTTTGTTTACTGTTGATTCAAGTTCAACTTGAAGTCTTGAAGATCAACTTCGAAAAGTTTTTCGTCAGTTCCTGGCTTAGTACTGAACGGTGAACCCCCCTCGAACGCCCCTGTCGATTTTAAAGAGGCTACCCTGACATTATCGAAAATTACATACCAACCATGCTCTCTATCTTTGTACCTATCGCGCTTCAATGACAATAGACTCAAAAATCACAGAGATTAAGGATAAGACGTGTCTATAATAGCTAGAATTTATAGAATAGGGTTAGGGTTAGGGGGCCCTTCTGGGTTCAAGGATAGAGAACATGGGTCCCAATAAAACCAATGTCATTTACATCAATATAAATATAATATTATATCAATATAATAGGTTAGGGTTATTGTTAGGGTTAGGATTAGGGTTAGGGTTAGGCACATTGGTTTTAATGGGACCCATGTTCTCTATCCTTGGGCCCACTTCTGTAGTACAAGTCTGGTACACTTTGTGTATACATATATGTAACTTGGGTACATATCTGTAGTACCTGATACGACACTGACCCCTTGAGCAATAGTAATAGCGTATGCGGCGGGAGTGGGCTGGGTCTATTTTTATCCTCCAATCACAGGTCAGAGCAATTCCTCTGTTTAGACGCATGTTTCTTCTACAGGGAGTGCGTAGTTTTGGATCGATGGTATATCATGTAGTCCGCATACGTGCTAAACTAATCCGAGGTGCTAAACTAGGATTGGGCCATGCTCGAAATATATTCAAGCACTCTCAGATGTATATATATGTCGGTAGCAAGTATAGTGATATCTCGACATGTATAATTATCTAATCGTGTTTTTATTGTGGTGACCTCTTAGTAGCTTTGGATTAATAGATCAAAACTTCATGTTTTATAACACAATAATACTTATATCTTTCGCCGATCGAGTAATACCCTTTCTCATGATAGATCGAGACTGTTAAGAAGTAGTAATTTCATGGTCTTAGGTCATATGACTATTATTATAACCATGTTATGTAAACTAAAATATGTATAACTATTTTGTTTGTCAAGCAAAATATCTTTTACCAAATGTTAAACCATCCCAAAAATGCACATTTCACATCACAGTTTATCGATAGTTACTGCCAAGCGAAACTTGGTGTCATATTCAAATGCACAATATTAGCACAATGTTTGCAATAATGTATTCATTTGAGTTTAAGAGAAATCATCCTGCTGAAGAATTTTTCTGCAGTTAATGGTTTGGGTGTTGATCAAGGGTTCTCTGTATGCAATGCTGTAGCGTTGCAGCAGGGTGCGACATTAACGGGAGTCCGGAGTCAAATACTCCCTGATTTACTGTCGGACTCCCTGATTTGACATATGCAGGAGTCCGTGTGACTTCCTGAAAATTCTGTCATACTAACTAGTTCGTTCTGGAGCACGGCCTCACGGAATTACTGTATTTTTTCAGCTAATGTCCAAAGAAAATTTGGCAGACGTGCAACTGCATGAATCTTAAAAATAAGCACATGCGTTATCGTTAATATCTTTAATTTTGAACCTCAGACTGCGTACTCCGTCATTTTGCTGCGGACTTCCTCTTTTTGAGGGTAGGGACTTTTTGAGGGTAGTTGGACCCTCTTTTTGAGGGTAATTGGACTCCCTTGTTCAAAAGTTAATTTCTACCCCTGTTGCAGGTATGTGCGGCCTCTGTGTTAAATTTTGTTAAAACAACATCAGAACAAGTGGAATGCTAGGAGTTCACCTCCCCACACTCCCGTTGGGAATGTGTGCAGTGTAATCACTAGCTTGTACATGTAGAAATTGTGTTGTAATGTATGTAGACATGCCCAGGCACGACTCTGAAAACCCTCCGGTAAAGGTCATTGTTATAGTGTTTGCACTGTTCTTGTTTTTAGCACTGGTCTCATAAACTTGTTGGTGAACTGTGATATCTTTGATAAAAAAACTACTATTATTAGAAAGTGTCATTAACTTTATATAAGTGCCATATATTCACTGGGATGGGGTCGCTAAACGAGTACCACATTATCTGTGTACATACATGGGCCAACATTCCACACGCACTTGAAGCGTTTCAATAAAATATAATGCTAACTAAATACGAAATCTATTTACTACCAAATTCTTAATGTTTCTATACTCTCTTTCACCTATTATTGCCGACAGTTTCCTGTAAATTCCGTCCAAATCTTATGTGCAACGCTACCAAAATCCTACGCTGCCAGCCGCCATTGCTCTCGCGGCTCCACTGTTGCACGCTTACACTAATATATATAGTCTAGCTATGTCTATAGACAGCAATGTCTAGGTACTGACACTATTGAAATAAACTTGAGTAATAATATATTAGGATGTGGATGTCAGTATTTGTGTATTCGTTTTTAGCTCATCTGACGTAGTCAGATGCAGCTTGTAGAATCGCATGATCGTCTGTGCGGCCGTCCGTCCGTGCGTGCGTCAACAGTTGGGCACAAATCTTAACCGCTCGACGTACGGTCACGATATTTGGGACGTGGGGGGGGGGTAATCTGAAAACGAGTTGGGATGTTGAAGCTGGGGGTCAAAGGTCAAGAGGTGTAAAAGAAGGGGGAACATTTCCCTCCTTAACTTAAGGTATAGGGAGGAAATGCAGAATTGCGGCACAAATCTAAACGGCTCGACCTAGGCTCATGATAGTTGGTGTATAGCATCATGGTAGGAAAAGCCATCACTGTGCCGAAATTGGAGGTCACAGGTCAAAGGTCAATGGGGGCACAGGGCAGATTTTAGACATTTTCTGAGGACATAGTCTGACGGAGCGATTGAAAAACTTTTTTGTTTCAGCGGTGACCTAGCATTTTTATGGCTTTATTGAAAGGACCATAAAATGTACTTTATGCTGACATGCGAAGAGTAAGTGTCGGATAACCTTTTGACCCTCAAGAGGAGAGTTAAACATGGATTTGTTTACTGTTAGAAAGAATTTGACTGCCGGGTTTGCTAGTAGAATCTATACATGCCTGGATGTATGAGGCTACAATGTCACGGTGAAATTTCAAAAGCTAAATTTGGTTGAAAAAGGTTTATGCTCCTTAAATCGTATAATTTCTATGGCATTCTGTACTGTCAGTGTGTTACATGTAACTTATGCCACTGCCAGTGGCCACTGCCAGTGCATGTGGTGGTGATAGTACTGTGTAGTTTTTCCCTGCGTTAATTAGTTACATGTGGCAGCTCTCTATTTTGGCCTGTAGGCTTGCGTAGGTAAATGCATCAGTGCTTACCTATTCTGTCTTGCAAATAGTTGTTGCTACTACGTACGATGGGAGCTTCCATCTTTAATCTTAAGACACTTCATAACGATCCCAACGAACATTCCTTTGAGAAGGTTCCTGATACCTTCCCTGTGCCTTCTACTGTTTCGGCGCGTATGTGAACACATTTGGGCCTAACACTAACATGGTTTACTAGAATCCCACCACTCTACCACAGAGTCACCGCAGTAGACGTTAGATGAGCGCTGTCGCTCCGCGGCACTTGTTAGTTTTTTAAAACAAGGTTGTACTGGTAGAAAGTACATGTGCTACTTACAATGTGTCTTACAATATATTATGAATGAAACGATTGCCAGTGTGAAAGATTGAGCACATTTTCGTGATAACATTGGTGTGTATGTACCTGTGACTTCAATGACTTGTGGCTAATAATTTCAGTCTAGGATACTGGGCCCTATTGTCGGAAATATCACAACAGGGGTAGAAATTAACTTTTGAACAAGGGGGTCCAAGTTCCAACAGACTCACTACCCTCAAAAAGAGGGAGTCCGCAGCAAAATGAGAGAGTCCACAGTCTGAGGTTCAAAATTAAAGATATTAAAACCATAACGCATGTGCTTATTTTGAAGATTTATGCGGTTGCACGTCTGCCCAATTTTCTTTGAACATTAGCTGAAAAAATACAGTAATTGTGAGAGGCTGTGCTATGGAACGAACTAGTTAGTATGGCAGAATTTTCAGGGAATCACATGGACTCAGGACTGCATATATGTCAAATATGGGAGTCCGACAGTAAATCGGGGAGTATTTGACTCCGGACTCCCGTTAATTTTGCACCCTGCTGCAAGTAGTTATGACTATCAGTATCACACTTGTAAATGTCTTTACTTTTGCACTTATGACTATCGTAAGTATAAAATTTCGTAACATTTTCACGACACTTTACTACAAAATTCATGGCGTTTTAGACATGTGAATAATGACCTAGACTGATGAATATTATAACTAATAATGATGTTTTGGACGTTAGGCCTCTGATCTTATAATTCGATTTAACTGTGTGGATTGCCAGCTTACATGCGTGTTCAGCTAAATGATTCCCATCAGTGTGTCAAACACATTCTAGTACTGTTTGTTATAATACTGTCCACTTTCCTGTTTGCAGGTGTGTGTGTTCCACTGATCTTACTAGGTGGACTTAACGAAGCGTCTAACCATGCTGGATGAGTTGTGGCCAGCATCGAGCAACCTGTGATAGAATAATGAGAGACGCGAACCTTGCCAGCGAGCCGTCACCGCCGCCGACCCGCCCGCCAACGATGTTTCCACACGAGCCTCCCTCCACCGAGCCGTCCTCTGCCCCCACAGAGGCCCCTCCCTCCACAGAGGCCCCCGCCCCCACAGACTCTCCCACCCCCAACGAGTGCCCTGCCCACACAGAGACCCTCGCCCCCACAGAGCCTCACGGCCTCACAGAGCCCCCCGCCTCCACGGATCCTCCCCCGGTGAAGCCTCCCCCTTCCCCCGCGCATGAGAAGGTCGTCTTCATGCTGAACGATGAGGTGCAGCAGGTCGTCGCGGAGGAACCGAGCTCTCCGACCAGCGACACGTCGTGCGAGACCCGCCCGCCGCGCATCGAGGTCCCCGAGGTCAGGAGGAAGGTCAAGGAGAAGGTCGGCTCGTCGAGCAACGGCGCGGGCGCGCCGCCGCCGCCTCCGACGTTCGGTTCGTTCACTCTCTACGTCGACGTCAAGTACTTTGAGGGCCGGCGGGCGGACGTGGGCGCGTCGGCGATGGCAGCCCTCGGCGGGGCCGCGGACCTGCGCAAGGCGTTCGACACACACTCCTACGACAACCTGAAGTCGTTCGTGCGCGGCAACAACTGGCCGGCGGAGCACGGCGTTCGTGCGGAGCTGTGGTCGCGCCTGGTCGCGCACATGAACCGCGACACGGCGCAGGACATGGGCGAGGCGGTCGACCTCTACAAGGACACGGTGCAGACGATCTTCCGCGGACGCGGTGAGTACGCACGCTGGCTTCATGGGGGCGGGTGTGAGGTGGTGGTGGGCGCGGCGGCTTCGTCCGGGGTGGTTGGGATGTTAGGGGGCGATCGATCTCTATACGTCTGGGTGGGTGGGGTGGTAGGTGGTGGTGGCTGCGGCAGCCTCGTCTGGGTGGGGTGCGGTGAGGGTGGGTGTGGCGGCTTTATCAGGTTGGGTGGGGTGAGGGTGGCGTGGGGTGGGGTTAATGCGAACGCGGATTCTCGCGCCCTTGCCATCTTTCCCTGCTCGCGGTTCACTACGAATCGATACACATTCACGTAAAGTTAGAATGTCGGTATTCTGCATTCTCGTAAAGTTAGAATGTCGCGATTCACTACGAATCGATACGCATTCACGTAAAGTTAGAATGTCGCGATTCACTACGAATCGATACGCATTCACGAAAAGCTAGAATGTCGAGATTCACTATAAATCGATACACGTTCGCGTTAAGTTAGGATGCCGAGATGGCGTAAAGAGATTGTTCTCTGTGTGTGTGAATTGATGCCCTCTCAACTAGGTATGGCAAGTTTCGTGTTCGGTTGGCTATGTACAGTGACCTAACGACAGTTTTACAATCGAATAAAAGGGTTGAATGATGTACTTTGGCGATACAGTTATAACTAGGCTACCAAATGTCACTCATAACTTTTGCCCCTCCCCCTGGCACTCGGTCAGCCGGTGATGTATGCGATGTGGGACCAAACGGCCTAGAAGCGTTCGTGAAAATTTCTTTTGAAATATTGTGAATGCAAAAGTACGTGATGGCATGATGCAATGCTTGTCAATTAACATGCACGACATGACTGTTATGTGCGTGCGTGGGTGTCTTCCAGTTCCACGCAGTATTGAAAATACTTGACTACGAATCTGTTTCCCTCTTTTTTTCTTTTGCCAAGCACACAAAGAAATATTACTAACATCAGATGGCCGTAGTCCAGTTAGGATTTGACATATAAGCAGATATTTCAGAGCAGCCTTATGACTCTAGAAGTATTATGACTTCGTGAAATAGAGCCAGGGCAAGAGCTTTTCTGTATTCATATACTTCTTCCTCTGCTATATATTTATTTTTTGCTGTTTATTTATTTATTTATTTATTTGTTTATTTATTTTATTTGCATTCATATATTTTGTTTATTCGTCCATTTATTTGACAGGGCAGTATAATTCACAAGCAGGAGCCATTGTTTTCTAAATTCCCACATTAAGCACACACTTAACCACACAGGGTTACGGTAAGAATAGCTGTGGCGATGTTTTGTGTGTGTTTTATGTGTGCATATTGGCATTGGCTATGGAACGGTTCTGGGCTCGAATTAACCGACGGCGTGCCCCTATCAATCGCCGTACTGCCCCTGAAAATCCAACCCGACCGACTGCCTTGCCCTTTTGTGTAATTGCCGTCGGTGCCCTTTAATCTAATGCCCTAGTTTCGTTTTTAGTCGAGTCAGCATAACACGTGCGCGTGCGTGCTGTAGTTGCAATGATGAGCTTAAAACCGATAGTCGCAGGAGGGAATAATAACAGCATCGGATAATTATTCGCTCCGGGCATGTAAAATTTCTTGTTACTGTACTTCCATTAGCAGAGGGGGTACAGGGGTCGGTGTTACGGTGTAAGCTTACATGGGGGCATATTGTTTTGTACATTAAAAGCAAGACGATGTTGATGTACTAATTTGTTATAAGTTTTCCTTTATTGCAAAAGTGCCTTTGTGCCCTTCTCAAATTTTGAGAGTTGCCTTGGTGCCTTTTAAAATTGCCTCTGTGCCCTTCCATTTTAGAGAAAATTCAAGGCGATTTCTCACATGCCCTAAAAAAATTGCCTTGCCCTTCTCGTCGCTTAATTCGAGCCCTGGAACGGTTGTTTGGCTCTGTAGACCGTTCCCCGGCGGCTACAATGACACTGTCAACGAGTTAATAGTTATGATAGGCCCTGAGTGGCCATTTTTATAATAATGTCACCTTAAGTAATGGTGCTGAGTGTATTTATTGGATTGTTATACAGCTATGCGAGTTTATGGGTACTGTGTCACACTGGGAGCTTTGAGATATCGATTGGCTGCTCAAGATAGGTCTCAGTTGGAGTTTGAAAATCACTAACAATCAATTTGAGTAAAGTCGTGATTTTTACACGGTTTCATCAAAATTATGTTACACTATAACAAGTGGCACGTCATTAAAGAAATGTAGTCAACTGTATCATTCAGGTCACCATGATTATATGTTATTATATGATATTTATATTATTTATATGTTCCCTATCAAAAGAACATTTCTATTTTTTCCCATTTTCTTATTTGGCTGCAGAATGTATATATCGTGAGATTGCAGTTGGTTTATGGTCGAGTTTTTGGCGATAGTCGAGGCAGCTGCATTGATTTGAAAACCAGACAGTGTATTGATCTGCTAGAAGGCTAGTTCTAGACTGATTCTGTATAATATCATGAGCAGGGAACTAACTGATGCTTTTGGTCACGCGCAGTCTTTGATGGGGGAATAAACTATAGGCGTAGACGATTCTTCTTCTTCTTGGAAAGGCAAGAGCGAGAGGGGGAAAGGGAAGAGCAAGAATGAGAGGGGTAAGGAAAGAGCGAGAGCGAGAGGGG